GGATGGGTGTGTCAGAGACAGTGCGATTGGCACAGTATAGAGCAGGGTTTAGGGCTATTGTACATAGGGTCGCTTTGAGTCACAAACGACTCGACGGCACATAACAACAACAGCAACAAAGTATGAGCAAGAGCCTATGGTTATGAAGCAAGAATTTCAAGCTGTTCCGAAAGAATTGGCAAAAAACAAGGCTCCAGGAGTTGATGTCATATCAGTTGACATATTTCAACATACAGATGTGCTCACTAAGTTGTGTCAAGAAATTTGGAGGACAGCCAGCTGGACAACTGACCCTTCCAAAGAAGGGTGACCCGACAGAGTGCAGAAATTATCAAACAGTATCATTAATATCACATGTTAGCAAGATTCTGCTGAAAATGATCCAAAAACAACGGATAGCACATCAACAGAGAACTGCCAGATGTGCATGCTGGGTTTAGAAGAGGCCGTGGTACTAGGGATATTATAGCTAATGTTAGATGGATCTTGGCTAAAAGCAGAGAATACCAGAGGAATGTCTGTCTGTGTTTCGTAAGAACAGAGGTTTTCTAAAACTTTACAAAAATGCAATATATTTTATACTTCCATTGAATAAGTACTCATTTCTTGCTTCCTATTTGTAGGGTATTGTAGGTGGTATGAAGAATTGTAAAAAGAGCAAAGGCTACTTGGGGACCGCCATATCTGAGCTTTAACAGCCATACAAAGGGGAGCTGTCCCTGTCAACAGCGTCAGTAACACAGAACTAATTTCTGGGAAGTCGGACATGTCCCCCATGTCCCCATACGTCTTTTTACTCATTTCAAAACCGATCTTACTGTTTTGCTGAGTTCAAAATTCGATGCGATAGCTCACAGGTGACAAAGAACCATATTGGAGAAGTCAAAAGGTTATAATCCAGGTTAATAACAGCATACAATCCAGACAGCTCCGTAGCTGTGCGTGCAGGTACCCCGTATCTACGCGTTGTGCACGCAGGCACTCGAACATTGAGCCTCATCACCTTGTCCTGGTCCTGCCAGTATTGGCTCTCTGGTTGGCGCTCGGCCAGTCAGGCCTCCAGTTCGGCCATCGGTGTTGCTCCTGGAGGTGTAGCTGGAACTAGAAGGGCAGCTTACATTGTCTTGCTTCTCCTTCAATGGCTCCAGAAGATCTGTCTCTGTGGCTAAAGCTGTTCAATTTATTGGCAAAAACTAACCAGTCCCCTCATAGATTTTTGAAACTGGCCACTCCCTTTGTGAAATGGCAGGATTTGCTAAGCCCTTGTGGATAGGCTAACATGCCCCGTTCGCGTATTTCTGCCTGTCTACACAGCAGAGTTGAATAATCACTAGGAAGAGTCATGTTGAAAGATAAACTCCACAGAGTATAGAGCATGCTGTATATAAATCGTGCGATCCAGAAATGACTGTAGGGCAGAGTGTGAGCCAAGTTTACCCATGGCTGCTGTTTATCACCCTAAGACTAAAGTATTAGATGGTAAGAGGTTCACAGGGGCCTTGAGAGGGTTCTGGAAGGTCAGGAAACATTGTGACAGACGGATTTGCGTGAGGAGAGAATTGTAAGTAGGGGAAACAGGGAGAGCAGAGGGCAAGAAAAAGCACTGTGAGTTGGCCACTTCTGTGTGTTCCTGTCTGCTTGCCCTTGCAGGGTGTCTGTAAAGGAGACGTTTACTAGGCTGGTAGTGGATGGGGACACGTCACAGTGACCCCAAGTGTTAGGCTGATGGCTCTGGATTTCATTCCTCAGACCTTTGGAAGGTTTTAAACAGAGGAAGACCCTGAGGCAGGGTTCTCCTTTAGGAACAGCAAGCTTAGGGGACACGTGAGGGAACAAGATGGAGTGGAGGCAGAGAGGAGGAAAGGCCAGCTAATGAGAGTCCTTCACGGCCAGTTGTCTGTCTGTCTGTGAAGGGAGCCCTGGTAACAGTGTGTAAAGCTAAACTGCTAGCTAAAAGGTCAGCAATATGAATCCATGGGAGCCCTGGTGCCATAGGGTAAGGAATTGAACCGCAGCCCAGCCGTACGTGGTTCTCGTCCACCAGCCACGCTGTGGGAGAAAGATGGGCAGTCTCCCTCCACGCGATGTACTGCCTCTGAAAACCTGCGGGAGGGTCAGCTTTGGGTTGATTCTGCCTCAGCAGGACACAACCAAATGGCTGCTCTTTGGGAGAAACATGTGGCCCTCTGCTTTCCCTAAGGTGACAGCCTCGGAGAGTGGAGCAGTTCTCTGCCCTGGAAAGCTGTTGTGAATCTGAATCCACTCAGTAGCAGTGAGTCGTGTGTGTGGCGGGCGCTGAATAAATAGTGCAAGGTGCAAAGTAGTCAGCAAGTGTTTGGCCTGACTTTCTGAGCAGCTCTGTACTGTGATGGGAAAGCCCAGAGCTGCTGTCATTCAGACAGGTTCCCCTTTTGAGGCAGGATCCTTCTTTCCACCCACGGATTGGCCTAAATTATAGTTATTGATTTATGATCATGGAGGCAGCTTGGAGGAGACCTGGTTTTCTTGGGCAGTGCTTTGCTAGAAAATGAATATTGAGTAATGAGGCTCACTTTTATTATTTTGGTGTCTCTGAAGAGTTGCATTTTCTGTGCCCAGGTTCATCACCGGACCTATGAAGACATAGATGCACAGGGGAAATACGACCTTTTACGTTCAACAAGATTCTTTGGTGGAATGGTGTGGTATTTTGTAAATAAGAAAAAGATTGACGGTTTGCTGATCGACCAGATTCAGAGAGATTTGTAAGTAAGATGTCAGTAAGTAAAGGTGTTGCTGCCATGACAGTAAATCTGCCTGTAAGCCATTGTTCATAGGGTTGCTATGAGTCCCAATCGACTCGACGGCACCTAACAACAGCCTCGGATTATTCATGTGCACGTTGGGAGGGAGGAAGCTTTTTCTATGTGGTATTGTTAGGTGCCATCATCATTTTAACCAAGATTGGGACACTGTGAACAATTGATCTGGACCTTGTCCTGTCCTGTACCATCCTCACTGTCTTAGACATGCTTCAAGTCCATTGTTACAGTTAACTGTGTTAGTCCACCGCATTGAGGGTCATTTGCTCTTTGGCTGGCCTTCTACCCTTCCCTCGGACTGCCTGGCTTTTCCAGGCAGCACGCCCCGAGAACGTGAAACCAAGTTTGAGCGTCCTTGCCTAGATGGACCACCCGGATTGCTCTTCCTCCAGGACAGACGTGTCTATTTTGGCGTTCCATGCCATATTCCGTGCTTTGCTCCCCACTACCGTTTTCTGTGCAGTCGTATGAAACCCTCTGAGCTTGCTGCGCACCCACGCTTTGATGGTAGAGATTCACTTCTCCCTGCTTGGAACCAAGGCTAGACTCAAGTCGGTTTTAAATGGCAATACCTTTACGGTTTTTTTTTCAACAATAAATGTCACCTACTTTTAAGATCAAATGCGGGACTTGGTGTGAAGTGAAATTGTTGTGTGTGGTGTAGCCGTAAGCTTTAGAATGAGCCCGATGAATCCCCCTCACATGATTCTGGCATGGAAGTCTCGTTAAACTCAGCAAGCTCTGGTGACCTAAGTCATAGAGGTGTGCCGCTAACCCACAGGCTGCCCTTCTCTGCCCTTCACACCCCGAGGAAGTGGTTCGAATCCACTAGCCACTCGTGGGGGGGAAGGCGGGCGTGTCCTCCCATGTAATTTACAGCCTTGGAACCTACAGGAGGGTCAGCCGAGTTGAAACCAACTTGGCAGCAGTGAAAACCGAGCATTAAACTCTTTACAAGACTCTGAACCCAAGTTCTAAACAAAGGATTCCTTTTAGCTTTATTTGGGGGGATTTTTTTTCAGCATATTAGACTTTGCCAGGTTATAATAGCTTTGCAGGGAGCATTTTAGGATTCTCTTTCTCCTCCCACTGGGTTTACATGCCAGCATTCTGGCATTTCACTTCCCCTGGGACATGGCCTTCTGGGTAGGGGGACCCAGAGCTTGTCTCAAAGACGTGCCTTGGGGAATGTGTGTATCTATTCCTCTGCTGTCCTCTTCCTTATACCCCCGCTGAGGTGTGTGACAGCTCGGGGGGCTGGATGGAGGGAGCTGGGAAGGTGTGACAGCTGGGGTTGCTGAACTAGGGTCTTTTTACCCCGCTCACCCCACCCTCGTCCTCAGGGGTAGAAGCCAGTAGCTTGCTGAACAAGCGTACACACCCTGAAATTGAGCCTTTTGGAAGGGCTGTTTTCAAGTCCTCTTTGGCTGCCAGATGACACATCTCATTTCCTTTGCGTTGGAGCTGACAACTGACCCTCCAGTTGGTTTCCAGAGGCTATATATTGCACGGAAGGAAGAAAACCTCTTTCTCCTGAAGAGCTGTGGTTGTTGTTTACCGTCAAGTTGGAACTGACCCATAGCTGACCCTGTGGTGGGTTTTCAGAGGCAGTTAATCGCTCGGGAAGAGATTGCCCATCCTCCTTCGGAGCAGCTGGTGGCCTCGACCCGCGTGCCTTCAGGATTGCAGCGCAGCTTCTTGCCACTAGGCCACCAGAGCGCCCTAAAGAGCCGCTCGTGGGTTCAAAACATTTGCCTTTGGGTTTGTAATGCAACTTTCCATCCACTAGGCCACCAGGGCTCCCAAGACAACTATTAGGAAGATACAGAGCAGAAACAGGGACTCTTTATCCCGGTTTCATTGTAGGTAGCGGTGGTTAACACCTAGTAGTTCAGACCGCTGAAGCAGAGCCTGCCTTTCTGTCTAATGAGCAGAATTTCCAATTTGCTTCATCAGGACGCCAGTGGGTTCCTAGAAGTAGCTGGGAGTGTTTCCCTGCATTCTTGGGAGGCTTCTGGGAGAGGCCCCTGCGGCATTTCTCTACTAGGTCAGGATCATTTTCTTTTTTTCGCTGCTGGAGATTCCACCTAAAAATGGCACACAGTGACCTCAGGACCACTAGCCTTTTATGTGGGAGTCTGTTTCTGCCCCTATCTGGATGACCCGCCACATGTCCGTGATGCAGGTGGCCTGAGAATCAGGCCGTTGACAGTGATGTCTGTGGGAAAATGTTTTCACAAGGAAGCCTCCTATTCCGAGTATATTCCCTTTCCTTAGGTAAGCATGGCCTGTTCCTTCACTGTGTTGGTATTAGCCTTGAACTGCCTGATGGTTTTGAAAATGCAAACCAGACCTTACCCCCACCCCATTCTTAATGGAAGATTATTTTGAAACGTCATTTACAGTTTTAAGGACTTTGAAGCCAGTGAAGCAAGCCTCTAATAGAAAGCCTTCTCTCCCAGGGTCGATGATGCCATTAGCCTGGTCCAGCTGTATCATATGGTCCATCCACACGGCCAGTCAGCACAGCAGGCCAGGGAGCAGGCTGCTGAGGGACTGAACTTAATTAAGGTAAAGGATCTGGACTCCACAGTGGCTGGTGGTGGTCACTGAGCTGGGAAGAATTCAGCCGTGGGTCATCTGTGCTCTTGAGCTGTGTTATGTGCCATCAGGCCATACCTGACCCTCTAGTGGGTTTTCTGAAGCATTCATTCACACAGGAGGAGACCGCCCATCGTTCTCCTGCAGAGCAGCTGGTGGATTCCAACTGCATACCTTCAAGTTGGCAGTGCAGCTCCTTACCCCTAGGCCACCAGACCTCCCTCAGATTTGTCCCGGTTCTTCGGCCTGGACAACAGAAACCAAGAGTTTGGCAAGGGGTGCAGGAAAGCTGCTGGTGGTGCAGGCGGATCGAGAGGTTCTAATGGGGCCTGAGTGGAGCACACACACCCCCCCCAACCCCTGAGTAAATTGGCCAGGCTGAGCAGTATCTGAGGGGCTCAGCTCCGTAGTGGCCGTGTTCCCACACCGGGAGCAGAAGGCAGGGAGGGTGATGCTGGGAGATTTCGGAACCTTAGGTGCATTATTCATTAGAAACTGCCCATGTCTCAGAACCATGGGCTTCGATTTCTGTGGAAATACTGAGAACTTTTTTTCAGGGAGGGAAGGAATGTCATTGTAAAAGGTCATCATCTCCTAATGGTCAGAGTAAGGAGCTCATGGTAGAGTACATAGTGAGTCCCACTGACCAGCCTTCAATGGAGAAAGCTGGGCAGGCTCTCCTAGTATAAAGAATCTCCTGCTATCAAGGTCTGGACACTTGACAGGGGGTCCCTGTGAGTCAGAGTCCCCAAAAGTGGGCTTGGACTTACTGGGTTTTGAGTTTGCATTTTTTTTTTAATTCACAGAACAAGCATGGTTTTGTGGAATTGGGCTCTCTCCGTAGTATTTTTTGATACTGCAGCATCAGTAAGGTTTACTAAAAATAAAAAGGACACTGCTGCTGCCCTCCCTAGGAGCAGCAGAGCGGAACTTGAAGTACCAGCTCTGATTGTATGTAACAAGTCCTGAAGCAGAAAACTTCCAGAGAAAACAAAGTAGACATGTAGGCTGCTCCCTGCCACCCTAATTTCTCAACCCTAATGGGTTTTTGAGAACAGGCTAAAAGAGATGACAGATTTAAATTTTAAATTAGCACTCTGTGAACCGTGTTGACTAGATACTGCTTTTCTATGATGTTGTTTTGTGCTGTTGAGACAGAACTGACCACAGCTGACCCTCCAGTGGGTTTTCAGAGGCAGTAAATCCCATAGAGGCGACTGCCCATCCTTGTGCCCCATAGCAGCTGGCGGATTTGAACCATGAGCATTCATGATTACAGTGCAGTTTCCTAACCAGTGGGCCACCAGAGCTTCCCTTGTTTATTTTTTTATGTAATACTTTTTTCCCCTCTCTTTTAAACAGGTCTTTGCAAACACAGAAGCACAGAAGGGAGGATATATAGAATTAACACTGCAAGCTTATCAAGATACACTCATCAGCCATTCTACAGCTTCCTGAAAAATATTTTTTTACATAAACTTCATTTTACTAATGACTAATAAGGTTTGGTTTTGTTTATATTGGACCCAGTGTTTTAAAATGTCCAGATTTTAAAAGTACCTGTCTGTACTGCTTTCGAAGTCCTAAACAGTGCCTCTCGCGGAAGTACACAGAACAGCGTTGCCCTGCCCACTTTGTTTTCCATATTCAAAGAGAACATAGGCCGATCCCCAGGTGAGGTAGCTTTGGCTGAATATACCAGTGTTTCAGGATAAAACCAGAACTGTATTCTTATTATTTATAAAGGAAACTCTAGAGCATCTTCATTAATTCAAAAGGTTTTATGAAGATATGGTCCAATGGCAATATGAAAAACAAGATCAAAGCTCATGTCTGTTTTCATTAACAGGAAAATCAAGGTGAGTTAAATGTAGCACATGAAACTCCCTTAGACAGGAAAGGTATGCTGCTCCCAGTGGTCCACGGCCACATGCAGAAGTCTAGGGGTCTGTCCATCGTCCCAAGCACTGTGGTCAGGCTGAAGATGAGCCTCAGTGCTACGCAATTAATGTTTATATGCTAATCATTATTGGGAAATTGGGGAGAGTTCAGTTCAGTCATCCAGAATATCTTCATCCAGATTGATATCTGTTGTGTCAATATCGTCTAATTCCAAATTATCCAAATCCACTTCCAGTTCAATTAAACTCTAAAAAAAAAAGAGAAGACAAAGAAGTTACATATATGCGGGTCAGGAAATCCAAACTGAGACTGGAATTTCTTAACAATGGGAGAGGGCCTCTTATTTCCAAACCCTTGCTGGGAGCAGATGACAAGCAGCTGGTGTCTGACTGAAGGCTCGGACAGCCTGCGGGCACCCCCGGATGGGGAGGGGTGCAGGGATGTGGCTCTGGGAGCTCTGGGCTTAGGGTCTGATGTACCTTTTCCTTGTTGCCTGTGTGGGAGGCCACTTTCGCTGGAGTAGGGGAGCCAGGTTTCCCATCCACGTCCTAAAAGTGCAAATGGACACACGCATGAGAACACAGGAATGTGAAATGCATCCCCCGTCCCCAAGGAAGACCATTCAGGTGGGTCCGGTCTGAGGTTACAGTAGAAATTGACATGCAAGGTTCTGCTGACCTGCTGCTGGGCTGTGGTGCTTGATGGCTGAAAGCCTTTCGCTTCTTCCATTATGTTCCTTTCTTCATTTGGCTGTCAGAAAGGTAATTCTGAAGTTACAATCTAGGAACTTTCCCTTCCCAGATACTAGCACTTAGCCCAACCAGACTTCATAACAGTCTGTTTAAAACCTGACGTAAGTTCAGTGGAGTGCCTAACATCACTGAGGGGCACCTGGGCCACTCACCGTGACCAGGGGGTACTGTTTGGCGGGCCACATATCAGCATGGGTCTCCTTCACCCATCCTTCGGCCACGAAGGCCTCTTTTAAGCCGGGGAAGAGGTTTTCATATTCTGTTGGATCAGCCAGGGATTCTGCGGCTTTCTGGTTGACTTTTGAGAGATTCTCTCTCCAGAGTTTGACCACCCTGCAGATACCACAGAACCAAAGGAAGACTAAGTAAGCATGCCCCCTTTTCAATGGGAACATTTCCCCAAAAATGAAGAGCCGTACCTCGAAACCTGACTGGGTAGGTAAGTTCGTGCTAGAAAGGCAGCTTCTGGAAGACGTCCGGTTCTAATCAGGAGTTCTAGGCATGCATCCAGCCTACAATAAAGTCAGAACTGCTCTTACCAAGAATCAACACAAACAGTGACACTGGACAGATTAAAAACGGTCGGCTTGGTATTGCAAAGTCAACTAACTTCCTCTCCTCCCCCAATTACACACGTTCCTTCATCACTGAAACAGCAACAGGCAAGTTCTATTATCAGTGAGGTGTTAGTTGTGTGACCATTTTCATCCTACTTCATTTTTATCACAAAAAAATAATCCAAAAGACTTTTTAAAACAAGCAGCTTAGATTATTAGCAAGTTTTACAGGCTTTAGGACGTATGCACCCCAGAAATCACTGTAACAGATGAAAACATCCGGGCAGAGAGTACGGCCATCATGGGGTATGCCAGACTTAGAATCTTAGAAAAGATCAATCTGTTGTCTTTATAGTTTTCTGTAAATTTTATAATGTGGGTAATAAAAATATAGTTGGATGATGTTTACGGCATTGAAGTCTATGGGGGAGAGAATAGTCTAAAAGTATTATATTTTAGGGCATTATTTTTATCGTAGGAGTGG